TATATATATATATATATATATATATATATATATATATATATATAACATGGGAAAGAAAATGTTTTTGGTTCAGCAAGATGACAAGTGAAAAAAAAAAACATTGTGGAAAAGTTGTTGTTTCTCACATTTACAGTTTGATTTGATGCATCACCTAATAACGATAATACAAAAGATTTAAACTATTAAGGAAAGGAAACTAATAAAAGGAATGGAGTGCCATGGAATTTTAATATACATTGTACATTAAACAGAAGATATTAAGTGAATTATTTTGAATCTAACTATATGAAAAAAAAGAAGGAAAAATTAACAATTAATTTGAAATTAAAATAAATAATATATAAGATGTCATAAAAAAAACACGTTTTTTGGAGTAAAACAAACAGTAACTTTGTTTTTATTTGATAATGTAATATTAATAAGTTTAATATAATGAAAATAAGTAAATGTGTTAAAAAGAAAAAAAAATATAATCAGTAATTCCACTATCAAGAATCTAGGAAAAAAATGAAGAAAACATTTTACTAAATTATGTAGAAGTATAAGAAGGACGAAAACTGAATAAGACATTATTGCTTTTTTAAAATAATATTTATTGTCTCAAATTTTTCTTTTTAAAAAGATTTTTCTTCTTTGAAATTGAGATTTTGAGAAAGATATGAAATTATATTATTAACATAACACTCTTAATTTTGAATTTTAGAATTATTATACAATAAATATGGTGGACAAGTTGTAGATAATTGTTTGTCTATTTTTTTTTAGAAATGATATATGAACTATCATATTGAAAAAAAATATTATAAAATGATTTTATGAGAATAAAAATAATTTAGAATTATTATTATATTATTAAATGATGGATGATTGTTTGTTAAAAAAAATTATCAAACTTCTTTCTTCTCTTCTTATAATTACATTGCAAAACAATAAGAATATGATGAAGTAACAAGGAAAAGAATGAGTCATTATGTTTCTGGTGGATTTTCGATCGATTTCGATTCTAAACAGTGTTATGGTCCTAATCGAAATCCTCCCACGTAAGTTCTTTTTACTTAGGCTAGCAGTCTGACTTTCAATCGAAAACGTGTATGAGGATCGAAAATCACAAGATATCAACAAAGCTGTTTTTGGTATTTTGTATTTAAAGTACTGAAAGCAGTAAAGTATCGAATCGAGAAACAGAACATTAAATTGCAAGAAAATATAAAGTGCGAAAACCCCAAATTTGCATTAATTGTAAATGACGAGGAATCGAAAATAGTGCAAATATAAATGGCAGGAAATCGAAATGTGCAGGGAATGTAAATGGCAATAAATCGAGATTTGCAGAATGTGAAACGACAGGGAAGCTTAAATGCAGAAACTTAATCTTTCATTGAATTGAAATGACAAGGAATCGAAAATAGTGCAAATATAAATGGCAGGAAATCGAAATGTGCAGGGAATGTAAATGACAATAAATCGAGATTTGCAGAATGTGAAACGACAGGGAAGCTTAAATGCAGAAACTTAATCTTTCGTTGAATTGAAATGACAAGGAATCGAAAATATAGAAACATAAAACTACTGAATTTAAGTTGCATCAAAATGAATTACCAAGGAAAATACAGAAAGCGGTAAATGTACTCAGTGAACAAGGAAATCCAGATTGCCAGAAGCTTCATGGTGTTCGTCGTTTCTCCGGTAGACTTTTCACTACTGATTCTGTTCTCTGTCAATTTTTGCCCCCTGTTCCGTCCTTCTTTGCTCTATTTATAGGACATCGTTCAAGCTTTCCAGGAGCAGTTAACAAGGCTGCTACCACATTCTACGTGCATATGACAGTTTACCTTCCACGGTCTCCCACGTTCTCACGATCTTCGACTTCCTCCAGGGTTTCGAAACTGCTCTCTATACGTGCGTTTGACTTGTTCTTCTCTTCACGGTTTGGCTAGAATCCCGATGTCCACATTGGCTTTCTTCACTCTCGATTTTGTATTTTCGAGAATTTCGATTTTACTTGTGAATCCTTTTTTACCTAGGTCTCATATAACTTAGTTTTTATTCGATAACAGGCATTTGGTTATCATTCACTCGATTCTCGATTGTGCTTCTCGATGCTACGTACTTCTAATCAGACATCAAATGAATTTTTGTTTATCTTATCGAGTCACATTTCTTTCCTTCATTTTCGATCGCTTTTCTCGATTTGCCACTAACAAAATGCCCCCTTGGAAGAATATGAATAGTTTGTTTATATTCTTTCAATATTTCCCGCCTTAGTATTTGGAGGCTCACAGAACTTTAGGGTTTAGGGTTTCTGGGTTTTTAGGGTTTAAAGGGTTTTAGGTTACTTTTTGCTTTACGTCGCTATCATATCAGTCTGCTACCTTACAGTACAAGCAACATTAATTACCTTTCACTTCCGTCGTTTCCAATTCCCTAGGCGCTTTTCCCTTTAACTTTTCCCTTGGTCTTTATTCGGGTTTTTACGCGAACTTTTACCCTCTGTCTGTACCTCCATCGTCTTCCTTGAGTTCTTGCTTTCATCTCTGTGCCTTCATCTTTCCCGTTGCTTTTCTTCATCCTACCCATTACTGAAATGGCCACTTCCTCCAAGTCTTCTGACTTTTCTGCTCCGCCTCTTCCCTCGCTGACGGCTCCCCTTCTGGAGATCAATAATCAGAAGTTTGCTCCAATCCCTCTGATGGAGGAGGCTTCTCAGAAAATTGCTGAGACGCAGGTACTCATTCCTTACATTGCTGATAATGTTAATTTTGGTCTTGGGGGTCCTGTCCGTTCTAGTAGTGGGACTTTTTCTTTCTTCACCCTCTCGAACAGCCCAGCACTTATTCATCACCCTGAGGTTCGGACGGATTTCTTGAATATGGCCTCGAGGGTATACCGAACGGGTCCACCTTCCAAAAAACCTTCATTCCTTAGGTGGTTTGATAGAGTACAGGCTAAGTTTGGGAACCACTGGAGAGATATAGGGGTTTTTGATTTTTTACAGCTATCTCGATGCGATTTGTCATCCTTGGATATGGCTATGTTTCTATCTGCCGTGCATTTGTGGAACAAGGATTTGCATGCCTTGGAATTACCCTGTGGTCCCTTGTCACCTACTCTCTTTGAGATTGCTGCTATAACCGGACTGAAACCTACTGGAGAGAAGTATTATAAGGGTGCTTACCCTTCGGACAATTCTTTGAGATCTAAGGTCGATTGGGAATCGAAAGCTTACGGACATTTTCTTGAGAAGCATTTCGTCGATGACGAATTGAAGGCTGTGACTGACGAAGAACACATAGCCTTTTTGGTATATTGGCTATGTACCCACGTTTTTTGTCCTCGATCCATCCAAATCTCCTCCCACCTCTATAATCTAGCCTATCTTCTCCATACGGGCCAGCCTAAGATATGTTTGGCTAAACTCCTGTTAGCGCATGTGTATACTCCTTTCGACGAGGCTGTCGAAATTTTAAGTACTCCTAAGGCATCGAGAAACTTTTCTGGTCCCATCTGGTTTATTCAGTTGTGGTTAAACTCGATTTTTGAGAGCATCCTCCCCCCGATTTCCAGCATCCCCCCAAGTGTAAATATAGAAGGGGCCCGATTATCTTCTCGTCATCCTCACCGAAAACCCGATGAAGCTGCTTATTGTCAATACCTTAATTTTTTGTTATCTAGATTTAATTTCGATTCGGTTTTAGCTCCTTTTACCGTGCATCTCGGACGAATAAATGGTCAACTCAGGGGACCAATTTGGTTTAAGTCGAAGTTCCCTGCCTCAACTCCTGGCTTGCAATTAGAGTTGGTAGATATCTGGAGTAACTATTTAACTCATGATATGCTGGTATCGGGTTTTCAATCCAAAGACTTCAAGATCATCACTTACTACCCTCAGCTATTCTCAAGACAATTCG